CAACAAAAACTTACCAGGACAGTCATAATTCGTAGAATTGAGGAATTTTAAGACTTGGATACAAACAAAAATATACTAATTCTCCGTAAATAATATCAAAGGATCCCAAATATGCCCACATTCCTTTACTATTTTATAAGATAAAGCATGTTGTAGTGACTTAAATCAGATGATATTTTAGTTACTGTGGGAGAACCCTTTTGATTGGGTTCAATGTAGAACCACAACATTTGTGGGCTGGCACAGCAGAGACTAGGGCATAGGAAGTCATTGACTTGACACTATGGATAGAAGCACGATAGATGCGGCGGAGACCAGAGCTAGCTGGCGGACTAGATGTGTTCCTCTAAGTCTTCACATCAATCTGACCAAGTTACAAAAGCAAGGTTAAACAACTTCTTAAAATTGATTTACATAAATGACAGAAACAATAAAAGGTAACCGAAAAAGAGCAGGTCAAAAAGTTAATGCTTGGACTAAAGTGAAAACGCCTTTTAACCTATGCTTGTTGATGGGACGATGGCATATTATTGTGGAGGTCAGAAATGATGTTATAGCCAATTTTAATAGGACGACTAAAATTATTTTCTCGTTAAAAAACAAGTGTCCTGACTGTTGACAGCACTAATTCATCATGCTAGTGAGAGGCTTCATCCTACACATACCAAATTCCCTTGAGCTAACCTGCATGATGGGCACATCACATGCTGTAGCCTGTTATCAGCTTATTCGGTAGGCATTATAGCTGTGATTTTTGGCAAATCCATTCCTGGATTAGGACTTCTCGATACTTTCAAAGAAGAAAGTCTCGTAAGGATGCAAACTTGCTGCTAGTCCGTGACATAGGGCGTACTATATAGCATATTAAACAATTTTTCATAGCTCCTTAAGAATGAATCATTCAAGAAGATTTTTTCCTATCTTAAATAAGCCTGGAATAGGTTCTCTTATCCCAGTTACAGATTTTGCAGAGGTCTCTTAATGTCGCACAGCTCGTCAAAAATAATAGTTGGTTGGAAGTTTAACCAGCTGAATGATTGATCGAAGGGTACAAATTAAGACTGTAGCCATGTTTTAAACAGTCTCATTCTAAGATGCCTCAAAAATCGAAGAGCCCTTGTTCGCTGGCAACCTTATACACAAAGCCTTAATCTCATGAAGCCCTACTGATATTGACATAAGAGGAACTATCACTATATTTCTTCCACATTCACTTAATTAACTTGATATAACATTGAGGCAAGTATTTTGGCTTTTTTATAACATAGCTTCTTATCTTCGAAGAAGCCAACTCGTTTACCATTTACCTTAATCCTTTTCAAACAATGGTGTCATGAAAATTACTCTGCTTAAGAAGCCCGGTTACTTAAAGTTATATGAAGACGAAGATACTGCGGCCTTAGGTTTGGAGTCTCCTAGGTACATATCGTTGGTTGGTCCTCGTTTTTATCAACTTGATCAAAGTTAAAAAAGCCCATATAGAAGATATCCACTCTTGCATTCTCTACCACGCAAGTCATGGTGATAGTAGGCAGAAGACAATGGACTTGGTAAATTCACAGAAGCTTAGCCGGCATAAAAATTAATATGGCTATTGTGATCACCCCAACCAAGTAGTGAAAACAAAATAAGGTCAAAACTATTGAAGGCGTATTGCCTAAAGTCAAAGCCCTTAGGCAATAGGGTGCTTTTTTCATTCATTTTATAAATATTCGCAGTTCTAAGGCAAAATATATGTATCTCTGCACAATTGACAATGCTACAGTGATTGGGCTCTCAGATTCCGAGTTGATTTTGCTCATGTGAAAATATAATGTCAACTCGGAATGGTTTATGCTTTATAGTGAAAGTAAATCACTAGTTACCTGTTGGTTCTGGAACTGTATTGTCATAGAGAGTAACGTTTTTAAGATGTAGGTGACGATGCTACTTAATAAAATTAATTTTTAACCTGTAAAATAAAGGGAAATTCCAGATCTTAATCTTCTGTACTCAGCTGAATACTTGGTTCGTATGCGTCCAATCAGCCAATGGCAGAAATGTACTAACAAGCGTCATTCACTGATGATTTATTTTTCGTTTGATTCTTCCTATTAATCGCTAGACTTAATCTGACTCTTAAAATTCATAATAAACACACAAAGATTTTCGCCTATTTTAAATGCACATATTATTCTGGCCTGCGTGAATTTATTGCGTTCCCTTATCTCTTCTTCCATCATAATGAAAGGCCAGTTGGACGACTCGCTCAACCTAAGCCGCCCTCCTAGCCCAGATGTCCACTCTAACCACTCGCAGCTGAAACACCAGACACAGCAACAATACCTTCATCAATCACAACTACAGCAACAGAGCCGCCGGGGTCCTGGTAAATCGGCGGGAAGTGGTAGTCTTACTGCTTACCCAAACGACCATGTCAATCAAGCGGTGGGGCTGGCTGGGATCCAGAGGTCCAGTGGAACACCGAAGGATAAATGGGGCCTGGGATCTACAGAATTGGGAAAGCAGTCCACTAGATAGACTTTATCCCTTGTAGCAGGCTATCATATGTTTCGGATACAGACGAGATTGTGGCTCTTCTGAACGAAAAATGTATTTTATATTCTACTCTCATATGACCTAAAAAGGATCTAACGCCGGATAAAATAACTTCCCAGCAGCATAGGGTGGAAACTAAGGCTGAGAGGAAAAATCAATCCATCCAATAACCCTATTCAAAAGCAGAAGAATGTATACAAATTATTTTCCCGTCTGAATGAGCAGCCATGCATGTTTGTAAAAAATGGATCTCGAGTGTGTCGATTACTCGTAACACGAGTGTGAGCTGTGAATTGAGCCCCCGATTTTCATATTACTTCCTTTCAGGTTAAATACATCTTTATCTGTGATAAATTTAACTATCTGGGTAAAGGGCAAGAAATATGCTCAAATTAAGCTAAAAGAAAACCATGATGAGTTATACCAGCAGAGATCAAAAGTACTTCACTAGACTAAGAAGGAAGAAGAAAATTCAAGGTTAATTAAATAGTATGAAAGTATTATTTACAAGTTATGAAATATAATAGTTTTAATAAAATGATTATGTTGTAAAAAAAGAAAGTATGGCAAAACAAAATAATGCATGCTGAATAGCAGTTAGGAAACTCTTCTAAGTTGTATGTATATCGAATTATGGCAATAGAATGAGATGTCAAAGGAGGAATAAATCAAAGCACTTTGGTTACATGGCATCGAAGTGGAATCTTTGTGCTTCTTGCATTTTCTCAGTTCTATCTTTTCTCACTTCAAGGTATTGCAGAATGCTGATGATGAGTATAAGGACGAAGCACGTGCCTAGAAGGGTAATGGCGACGTAGATCACTTTCATATCATATAAAGGCTCCAGATAGAGCTTGATCGCCCAGCTAAACAAAAAAGTATAGTAGCATGCGTCAGCAAGTCAAATAAAGAATTGTTAGCATACTCACGATTAATAAGGTTTTTCATATTATTTAAAGAAGATTGAAACTAGAATGCTACTGGGGGAAGGGGTACTGTTAAATCAGCTACCAGGAAAAACATAATGAAAAGGGATAAAAAAGCGAGATTCGGCAGCGAAACCGAGTTTACTTTTCCACTACAGACAAATTTTATTGATAACTTTAAAGTATAACGATTAGACATACCCTTTTGCTTACGGTTAACCAAGGAAACCAAGCAACCGATGAAATAATTTTAGCTTAAAAATGGGAATCACAAATAGCCTAAAATCAATATAATAGAATCATTTAGGGCTAGATTTTGACTTCTAAAATTAATGAACAATTATCTGAAGAATGAGTAGATTTCTGTTAGCAAAAGATAAATTAAAAATCAGAAATAGTGAATCAAGAGAATTTGGTCAGAATTTCCAAAGATGCTCCCAATTAATTTTATGAAACAAATCAAAAAGCCCCACGAAACGATCAATTAGTGATATTAACCAAAGTATGCAATCTTTAAGAATACATATTTTGACAAAAGTCATTAGGATAAATAGGATGATTGATAAGAAGCGTCTTAAGATGTCTAATGAAAACATGACAAGGGAATATTTTTCATCAAATGTTTAAAGCTAAATAAGGAAGTATAACGTGCACCTCAAAGCAAATAAATAATATGTACATCGATTTTATAATTAGAAAGACTTAGCTCAAGTTCAAAGTAAATGTACGCATTTATACAGACAGGAGCTGCCTATATAGATATCTCTATTAAGCAATCACGTTTAATGCAGTAAAACAATCAGGCAAGATAAGTATATGGCATTTGGAGGACCAGTTGCGTTAGTTAACTAAACCCATTAGCCATGAAATTTCATAATGAGGAATCGACGAGTAATTTTCCAATAGGTTCTATTAAGATAATTGATCAAGCCGAGAGTAATGAATCAGGTAACGGCCTGTCTCAAAAGCAAAACAATACAATACTACCAAAAAAAACACATTGTATTTTTCTATAAAAATAACTTTCATGAAAAAATAGGATTTCTCAGAAATGCTATGAGAGCGATGCATTAACTAAATAGTGAAAAAAAATCGATATTCCATATATGACTGTCTTAAAACTGTAAAAATATTTACCTTACATATTTGCCGATTAGTGAGGCTAATTCATGAATCTGAAGTCGATTCGGTGACAGCTGCCTCTTTATATGAATAAACTAGTGTACGATCCTCTAATGTTGACTCATGTTTAGCTATGTGTCATCGTATGTATGTGATTTTCATGTTATGAGAGGTGATAGTCCCAGCTAGACTCGAGACTAATCCAGTCTACCTTAATTGCTCAATAGCTCTTCTTGCCTTCCCTCTCGTTCACTCTTAAGCCTATCCAACAGCCATAAATAGTTCCTAGCTAATTTCCCACACTCGCTCCTCCTATTCAGGACGTTGGCTGTTTTGTTAATTTCTTTAGACTTCCTAATCATACGCTTTGATGTCAAATCCTCGTAAGCAACAAAACGTGTTTTTGACCGGTCTATTGAGTGTCTAGTATTAACCATGTGTTCTGCGAGGTCAGATTTTTGGAACCATAGACATTTGTAAGCGGTTTTGTGTTCGTATATTCCCTTCCAGATGGGGCAGGAGGTTTTTCCACATAGACAATACCACATGAGCACAAGAGCAGCCTGATCTGAATAAAAGGTCAGTAAATTCTCGAGGAGAAGGCACGGATGAAGAAAATGTTAATTTCTTTTTATACATTATTCTGTTGCAATGCTACAATAGGTCACGCAACTTTTTCGCAAGGTGATAAGTAGACGACTAAAATAATCCATCTGTCTATTCCGCCACAGATATAAATCTCTCCTCATCTTGCTACTGACAACTGAAATGTTATTATCTACTAATCCTAATGTGTAATAGTTTTCAAACTATACCTCAATTTACCGATTACCTGGTCCCTGTGGTTTACGTCTGCAAGAAGCAAACTCCTTATTATCATTAATTGTATAAATCCTACTTTAAAGATATGAATGAAAATTGGGTTTCGAGTAGTTTTTTAGTGATATATTGTTACATGACTTTCCATTACGAAGAAAAGGTTGGTTTAAGGGAATTCGTGATGTGATCGCACCGGAAACCGAAGGAGAATTCTTGCGTAGGATCCCATGACCCCACACAACTTACCATAGAAGCCGTAATATGTTGGAAACATTGATTCATCTAATGATTGAATCTTTGCCTAACCTTTTACTTTGGGCTTTTTATCCCAGAATATTTCTGTACATATACAGTACATCAAAACTTACAAGCAAATCTACTCTTTCTATAGTCTGATCATCAACTAATCTTATAAAGTCGTAGGAATCCCTCAGCAAATATTTCCAACATTCGGAGATCCGCTTTAACTAAACCAATTTTTCATTTAAAATGGCAAGTCACGTAAAAATAAATCAATGAATTCTTTTAAATCCAGTCTCCTCAAATCACGAACACCGTCTTCCGATCTAGCCTCTGTAATCTTCTGTTTTCTTATGAGGATTTCTTTATTTTGCCATCCAATCGATCTCGTATCCAGCCTGTGCAATGTGTTCCACTATTTCAGACAATGTCTGATATCTGCAAGCTTAGGGAACAGAGTCTACCTGGTCAGGCCATGGTATACGCACTAGTAAAGTTTGTGGCAGACTAGGAGAAAAAGTGCCTGGAGTAAAACGTATACTGTGACCGGGTCCGAGTAAAAACAGTTAGAAAAAAAGATAAAAAACGAAGCTTTGTGGACATAAAGGTAATTCGGATAGGATGTCTAAGTCGGACCATCAATTTCGGCAAGTCGAAATAGAGGGGAGGCAAGGTAAACAAGCGCGTGCGCTAGCACCCTAGTAAACTCGCCAAAAAGGGCACCTCTAAAAGAATCTAATATAGGCAAGTCAAAGATTGTGATAGGACGGTAGTGAGATAAAGTGGTAGGGAGTAGGTAGATGTGCCAGGACAGAAAGAGGAGTGATAGCACAACCGTTCGACAGAAAATTTGTCACGGGATTAACTTCATAAAGCCATTTGACGAGTTTTAATGTGGTACTAAGAATAACAAGACTCGTTGACGGTGCTGAAGAAACGTCTGGAAATGTACCAAGTTCACAGTGCAATTCTGGAAATTATCATAACTACTATAGCAGAGGATCTTGGACAAGGCACGTCCAATTAGGTCTTGACAATACGACCAAGTTGCAAAAATGAGGTCGGGCCACTTCGCCCAAAAAAGTTCACAGTTTATATCTTATTCAGCAGGCAAATGTTTTAGGTATAATGTACCAACAACTTTACAATCAAGTAACAATAAATGTCTTGATAGACATAATAAGGAGAAGAGTTGAGGACTTTAAAAAAAACAGCAAATTCTCCTTTAATAATCAAGTCAAAACGTAAATAGATTAGGTGGTAGAATTAGGTGCATACAGATTTCGGTAGACGAGTATATTCAAGGAAGAACTTTGTTTGCGTCAGATAACCAATTACAGGCACTGAGGTGGAGATGCATGTCAATGCAATCACGGAATAACTTTGTGGACTTTTAAGACAACGAATGCTTACGATCCTAACGTTCTTTGCACACATACAAAAGAGGACAAGCTAAGTGACGTCTCAAAAGGTCGTAATGACCCTACTGCAAGGTGGCTCACAAATTTAGCAACTTCATTAACTAATATTTGTCTAGAAAACGTGTATTATTTAAATCATATCAAAAAAAATAATGCGATAAGATGGTTTGAACGCGCCCTCTCAACCATCTCTGTATGCCCCTAAGGCAGGCAGATAACGTATTCAAAGCGAGGCTATTTTCGTAGAACAAATGGCTATTTAAAATGGCTCAAGCCTATAGAACAATAAATCTTCGATCAAAAAGGTGTATATTTCATTTTATAGAGAGCAAAATCCCCTATAATAGTAATTTTATCATGAATAATATAAACGAAAGTATAAAATGCGCTATGTAAATATTCCACAGCAAAACTAGATATACAATGAATAAAGGCCAGCATCCATAATGATTTCAGCACAGTTAATCAATCCGCACATTTTTAATTGAAGGTATGAAGACCAAGATGGTGTGACCTTTTGTGTGGTCGCAGTCTCCTTCGTTGCATAGTTGTTTGACCGTTTTTTCGCAACATGGTCATATTGGTAGGAAGACTTAGAGAAATGCACCTTGTTGTGTGGTGTTAGGAATGGCGATACTCACTGACGATGCCGGCGAAACGTTTGGGAATGTACCACGTCTACGGTTCATATTTGGAAGTGATCATGTAGACAATGGACCCCGGAATAGGTGCGTTCCAATAAGTCTTCCTACCAATATGACCATGTTGGGAAAACAAGGTCAAACAACCTCCGCATATTTTTACTTTACTAATCATTTATATTTGATTAGACAAGGACATAACTATTCAATTAGTTCTGAAACAAGAATTAGGCAAGGATCCAAAAGGCAAATAAAAATATACATTGAATTTGATCAGAAAGAAGGTTCATTAATTGCACCACTTACTCATCAGGCGAGTCCAATGGATACGGGTTAACAACAACTTGCGATTTGGGAACGAGAAACGTTGAGGTATGTTTTCGAGAGGCCTAAACCAGAGTATTAAAGATAAAATATAGATTTAAAAAGGGTTAATCGTCAAGAAGACGTATTTTGGAAATAACAAAAGTTACGCATACAGTTAGTAACCTACAATAATTGCAGTTCTCTAATAAACGACGAACGTAAGAATGTTAAAAATGATACTTGTCGGCCCAAATATTGTCAAGAAAACTCACTTCATATTGGCACTTGAGGTTCATTTTTTAAGAGTTTGGATTCATCTTAAAAATTCAGATAAGTCAAAAATATATATTAATAAAAAATGTATGCATATAATAGCTGTTGCATGACAGGCCAAAACTTACTCTTCAATATATCGCCAGCGTACATATAATTTAATGTTGTGTTAAGCCTAAAGTCAAAAAACAAGCGTTTAATACAAGCAATATAGGTAGTCAAGGTGGAACAAGATTCCGATACAGGCTACTAGAATTCACCATCTCAACTGGAGACCGTTTTTCAGCCTGTGCCCGCCCTGTCTACAAACACAGTTGTAAGAATTAGGCATAATTTTAATAGGTGAATCGCATTAATCAAGGGTTGTATAAAAAAATTTGATAACCACAGGTTAACAGCATATGTTACATTCCAATTTAGACTTTAATATGAAGGAAAAAAAGTCAAAATACATTTGTACCTTATAAGATTGTTTGAAACCCAGTTTTTAAGATATTATCTTGCTCAAGAACACCTAACTGTTTTAATAGTAATATGAGAGATATTAACCCTATTTCATTTAAGGTGATGAAGGACTGGTAGTAGAATTTTCCCACAATGATATGAGTAAAACTGACGTTTCCATTGAATTTCACATTGCCTTGCTTTCCCACAAGTGGTTCTCACCTAAGGTGTCCACCTTGGGTGAGAACCAGTTTCAACCTCGCATCGGTCTTATCA